AAAAATCATCATCTGGACCCCCCCCCCCCCACCCAACAATATACGGCCTTTTTCGGATTGCGGTAGTAAAAATCGCAGCGGTAAAAATTCCGGTCATTCCGAGGAGAAGACAACGTCCGTACGTCCATCGGTCCACAGTCGACATTGTCCTATGTTCCAGTGATGAGTACCACGGACCCCACCGGGGAGGGTGGAGGAGGAGGAGGAGGAGGGGGCGGTGGAGGAGAAGGCGAGGGCGCTATGACGACGACGAACGTCGAGCAAACGGTATCGCCGAGCACGCCGATCACCACCGGCAACGTGGTGCTACCGGCGCAGCCGGCTACTCAGCAACAGCAGCAACAGCACCCGCCACCGTCACCCCTGAGTGGCTGTTACCTTCTTGTGGTGCTTCCTGAGCCTCATACCGCACAACACAAGGACCTCATCCTAAACCGTCTCGCGAAAGGTAAGTGTTTTGCGCGCCCGGGACGGCCTTGAGAGACGTCCGTCCGGTGCCTTTGTCTCACGTAATGTCGTAACACACCTGGCCGATCGGCCTACGACGGATCGGGACTATAGATCCACCCGTGACTATGGATCCTCCTCGCATAGCAATTTCAAACGTTTTCTATTATTATCGTTCGACTATTCTCGATGGAAAACACACCGAGTAGGTGTGCGGGGATATAATGGTAAAGACCCCTCTCATCTTACCTTCTCGTACGCGCGCGTGACTTAAGGCATGGACTTGCAATCGAGTTGCTCGACGTTATCAGTCCAACGGCACGCATTATGTATGCGTACGATCAAAACCTGATAACCGCGTAGTTACTATTATTATTATTGTTATTACTGTTATCATTATTATTAGTATTATTAACTGAGAGGTAATTTATGGCACTTGCAACTGCAATGGTCTAACACTTTAAGACACGAAATATGTTTTCTTTGGAAATTTTGTAAATATTACTTTCCCTTCGAAACTATCTTGAAATTTTGGGGAAGTAATTGGAAAAAAATTAGTTGAATTTATGTGTAAATCCCAGAAACCCACCGTCACGGTTAGCGATAGTTGGGTACGTAATGAGTTACGTACAGATTGACGTCTGACCATCACGATTGTGTTGGCTGAGACTTAGGGGGAACATGAAGTCGTCTTGTTTCACCGCAAATTTCTTAATATTATACTCGTTATTACTCGTTATTACTCGTTATATCGAAATTTTTTCCCTCGCGTACTATTTCTTAAATTAAAACCAGAAGGAGGCTGTAATCGGGGTCACAAAATCACTCTGACTTTAGTAGAATTTTTTTCAGCGTACACGGAGAATTGTAATTTGCACCCGTAATCGGGGCCAACGACGTGTATCAGACACGACAGCCTTATTACCGATATGAGCAGCATGCAGGCTCTCGGAGCTGAGAAATAGCTCGCGATCGCGCGATCGCCTTCCGGAAAGAGACTTTCCGTTTCGGCGGACACTCCGTGTCATCGCGGCCCGGAATTAAGATTGCGCGTTGCCGCGACTTTTCGAGGCACGTGTATGCACGCATATGTGTATTTGCGTGCGTGCGTGCGTGCTTGTGTCTGTGCATGTACGACGGCTCTAACGGTGCTTGTCCTCCTCCGCTCATATTCCTTCCGAGTTATCGGACAGGCTGGAGTTCTCGACGAACGGGCGACTCCGTGTTGCTAGGCGGACCGTAAAGCGGGCCTTCCTCTCTTTCTCGCTTCGCCTCGGGAGGAAATCGACGACGAGTCGCGCGCGCGCGCGCGCGGCTCGTTTATTTCTAATCGTTCCCCATTAGACGCTCGATATCGAGACGCGGCCGGCGTTAATTCCTCGGCGCTTGCTCGTTTATATACGTTTCCCTCTTCCCCCTGCCGTAAGTGCACCGGGCGCAGCCGGCACCGGCAAAGCGAGCAAAGCGACCGACACGCTTCTTAATCGCGCGAAAAAGGAGCGCGCGCGCGAGCGCCGCTGTGATACTAATTGGCTTTACGGCGAGGAGCGCGCGCGTCACGGCCGTCCGAAAGCGGCGCGTATCGATCGCTCGATACAGCGGGATTTCATCGCTTCTAACTTTTTCGTTTCGATCTTTATTATTATTGTTACGTCCCTTTTGCCGTTTATTTGAAAACTTTTGCCGATTATCCGGAGACTTGCATTGACGAAGGTCACTCTGAGCTTCAGGATTGTGTGAATTTTGTTGCACGACCGTAATCAAGTCAAGTTGAATTAAAATCGAGTCGAATCCCCGATAGTTTGACATAGAAACTCGAAATTACAAAATTTAGTACAACAGTGAAAGGCTAATGAAACTAAGACGTGATTATATACATGATACAGATGTTCCTTCAACTATCTAAAAGTTGATCTAGTTATGTAACGAGAGTAGTTCTAACTCTCTAATGAAAGGTTAAGTAAGTCAAATGACAAATGGGACTATTAATGTATTGACTTAACTTTATGATTTGCTTAACCTAATTATTTCATTGAATTAAATTCTGAATTAGTTTTGCACATACTGAGAGAAAACATTTTTGTTATATGTAACTATAATCACATAAGTGAAAGAATTACAGTGAAGAAAATCATTTCTCTAAATCTCACATTCAACAATTACGTTATGCGGAATTTGATTATTTTTATTCCGCTCCTCTACTTTTCGTCACATTTCGTCACAAAATATCTGGACTCAATTTCCAGAAAAATATTACCTGATGTGTGGAATTATCCTTTCTCCTTAGAATAAAAAAAATAGCTTATAATCATATTACGGGTAATAATTGTTGGACTGCATGCTCTATTATTTTTTTCTAAAATAATTTTTAGGTATGATATCAAATTACTTTATTTTATAATTTTGATTAATAAAACTATTTCGATTCTATTAACATTTTGATTATTAATATAAAAACATGTTAAAACTTAAAAATTGTTGCTAAATATATAACCAAATATGTCACGAATGCGAACAAAATGGATAATTGCGCATCCATAGTTATGAGATAGCCATTTTAATATGATGTTCTATCGCCTTTACTCCTCTCCTTCCTCCCTGCCATCACAGATCGGCATGCAAGGTAATAGGCTCCCCTCTCGTGCTGTGACGTAATTGTTGAATGGCCCCCTATACTGTCAGTGATGATAACCTTACATGCATAATGCTATTTATTTTTTAGGTTGAAACCAGCAGAACATAGTTGAGGTCGAAAAAGACTATAACTTCAATGGGATTTCTCTCAGTGGTAAATAAGAGATTAAACGGATGCTCAAATTTTGCTAAAAGGATTGGAATTTTTGAAATAGAATTATTATTAATTATTTACCATGCGTCATCTTTTTTTCTCAGAAATGAATCTTTTGTCTTTTAGGATGTCCCATCGATATCGTTATTACGAGTACAGTCACGAAAAGGTCGTTACAATCACCGTGTGCGAATTTGCGTTTAGGGTTCATAATTAGATATGGCGACGTGGCTCACATATTTAATTAGGGGCATTAATGAAGCCAATAAAGAAAAGTATATTCTTCTTACGTTTTTGTCCTTATGATAAGAACGAGTATAGAATGTTTTGAGACGAAATTTTAATGACAATTGGCGCCGAGCTAGTCAAAAGAACCGTATTAAGAAAAATTTTTTTTGTATTTTTATCTATTATTATATATAAGTGAAAAAATCATTTATTTGTTTATTATTAAGGGAATAATTCATTTGACACAAAAACTACATAACCAATTTAATGCAATAACCCATTTGATACAAATTAATGAAATAAGAAAAGAAGAAGAAAATTCATAATCACGACCATTTTCCTAGTAAATGTTACTACAATAAGTGATAATAACCTTACACGGAAAAAAGAAACAGTTTGAATTTATCTGAAATGGACAAACTAAACGCGCCTTGGTTAAAGCAAACAGAATTTCTACTTCTTACGAGTCAAATTCTGTTCTCATAATTCGAAATTCCGTATCTTCCAATCAAAACGCGTTTCTTTTGTCGATTCCAGAAAAATCCAACGAAACTGTCTTTTCCGCGTATGTATGCATATTACTAGTTTTGGGGTTAAGATAAAAAAAAATTATAGTCGAGGTCGAAAATAACTGTAATTTTAGTAGGATTTGTCTCGCGATAGAATACGACGGAGATTGAAATTGTTCGTTTTCCGGGACATCTTATGTGTGTCGGCGCCTTTTCATGGGTCAACATAATGCGTTATCGCCGTCGGGATAGCGGAATTCTATAATATGTTTAACTTGTCTGGTACGGGCATATTAAAATTAATATCTCAACACACACACACAACATTAATAGGAGTGTGTATATGTGTGTATGTGTGTGTGTGTGTGTGAGAGAGAAAAAAATAGAGAGGGGGAAGTCGACGCGCGGAGCCCGCACGTATCGTCTGGGTTTTCCGCATTGCGCCAGCGATGATTTTTAACGGCAGCTCGTCGTCAGCTCCTCTCTCTCTCTCTCTCCCTTTCTCGTTTATCTGATGATTTTTCAATAGCCCGCGTGCGCAAATTGTACAGACTGCCTCGCCGCGGTCGTTTGCATTTGCGACGATGATTTCGCGAAATGCCATCTGATAACGGCGCCGCAGCGCCGCTAGCTTTGACGTTAATAGCGCGCCACATTAAAGATCGCGCATGGAATTTAACCTACTGCGATTAAATATATATATATTACCTATGTTGACGTTAAAGTACGTGATTTGTGCGTGAAACTTGCGTCTTTTTTTCATTCTTGATTGTGCCAGCGCGACAGATGTGCGCTCCCAAAATTTTCCGGAGTAAGAGTAGGATTAAGATAGCAAAATAGATTTGCAATTTCAATTCCAATAATATAATTTATTTTTACTTTGACCACATGATTTCTTAAATTTCTATTTTCGCTGTTTTGCCGTTAAAACGGGTTGTTCATGCATGTACAATTAACACTTTTAACAAATCTTTCCGCTGCCTAAACAAATGTTTTTTGTTGTCACTGTATTGACAAACATGTTGCTGTTCTAGCAAGATTTTCTCCGTGCGATCCGCTCGTGCAGCCGTGTTAGTCCTCCACTAGGACTCGTTTTGTTCGGCATGCGCGCCGCTTGCAAGTTCGCCGGAAAATAGCTGGCGCACAAAAACGTCCCCTGCAAGCGGAGTTTCGGCGTTTGCTCTTTTCTTCGTCGAAGGGAAGCGACGTTCGCTCCTACTCGGCGGACCTCCGCACGGAGATCTCCTCTTCCTTCGTGTAAATTTAGCGGTAGATTTCGAGCCCGCGAGACATTTGCTGCGCCATTTGCTGCATGTTGCGTGCTCGGCTTCGCCGAGTCCTTAAATATACTCAAAAACCGTATGCATGCCCCCCACCCCCCTTTAGGAATTCCCCGAGGTTCGAGCTCGTTAAGGCACGCTCGTGTATCTCGAACATATTCCCAACTTGTCTTCTTACCGACTTCGCTTGTGCCCT